TGTCACTCTCACTCNCNCACACACACACACACACACACCTCTCTCTCTCTCTCTCTCTCTCTCTCTCTCTCTCTCTCACAAACGTCGGATACACCCCAGTAAAATCCCCCACGAGGGGCGCGGGGCTCACTATTCACAATAATGGTCGTGTCCCTGGGCAGCGTGTCCCGCAGCTCCACGTGGCGAGCCTCGTCGTCGACCGTCCAGCCGGGCGGCGGCGGCGGCGGCGGCTCCATCACAATCGTCGCGTCGGGCTCCACTCGGGCCCAGGAGGCGGGCCCGACGGGCGCGCGGTCCGAGTCGCGCCGCGGGCCCGTCTGGCGCCAGTACTGAAAGGTCCGGAGCACGGCCACGGGGATGCCGAGCTCGTCGGCCAGCCGGCCCATCAGGTCGCGCCAGTCGTCGGGCTTGCGCGCGCACAGCGCCACCTCGTGGCCGTCGAAGCAGCGCATCACTACCACCAGCTCGGCCGGCGGCCGGCGCGGGTCCGGGTCCGGCTGCTGCTGCTGCTGCTGCTGCTGCTCGTCCTTGTCCGAGGCCGCCGACTCGGCCGCCAGGGCCGCCGCTGCTGCTGCCAGCGCCTCGAACGCCCTGGACGCCCCGGACGCTGCCCTGGACGAGGAAGCCGCCCTGGACGACGACTCGCCGCCGCCCGTCGTCTCCGGCGGCGGGTCTGAGGACGTGTTGGCGGGGCCTACTGCTGCTGCTGCTGCTGCTGCGGACGCGTTGGCGGCGCCGGACGAGGTGGTCTCCTGATGGTCCGCGTTGGCGGCGCCTGCTGCGAGCGGCTCTCCCTCGGACGATGACGATGATGATGATGAGGCTATCGAGCCCTTGTAGGTCGACGCCGAGGTGAACTTGTAGATGGGCGACATGGTGTGCTCCAGACGGTATGTAGGATGATGGGGGAATCAAGTGATGGGGGTAGGTCGTGTTTTCCTGCTGCGTATTATGCCTTTTCGAGAATGTCTTTGCTGTCCAAGACGGAGGTCGACTGTTGGAGCGAGTGTGCAAGTATTGGTATGTTTTGTTTTGTTTTGTTTGATCAGGGTTGCGTCAAGCAAGAGAACCAGACGGCGAGTCCTCCTCGGCCCGCCACAAGGAAAGTAAGAGCGCCATCTGCTTTTGTAGACTGGCAGTGACGGTCGTTGACAGCCGGTGTTTGTCAAGGCAAGCAGGTACTTCTAGTCCATGCGAGCAGTGGCGAGGGTCTCCAGGACATGGCAATGGGGAAGGCATGTTGCAGCCTCTCAACGGTTGACACAAGGCCTGCTGGGGCGAGTCCCAACCGAGACGTGGCTGGCGTCGAAGCACTCGGGGCATGGCAAATAGGAGGGCAAGAGCATCCTGACTGGAGGTGTAGAGGTCGTCGTTTCTGCAAGTTCTTGTCAGTCCGGGGTTTGATTTATAGCGTGGTGGTTGGAACGGAACCGAGCTATTGTCATCGTGGCGCCTTCCTTTGCCTTGGTGATATATATATACCTGTCCGGCGGCGAGCGTTTATAAAAGCATCCAATGCGGCTCAATTGTTGTGTTACATTGACGGGTGCTACTAGCTTGAGTGTCATTGATGGTTGTGGTTGGGGCGTTTGCAGCAACCGACGCCACTGCAACGCCCCCCCACAGCACATCAATCAGACCCAACATTCAGGGTCAACTTGGATCACAAATATCCAGGTTCCACCTTACACAACCTACACCAAGAGACAGCCCTTCTCAAGCAGCCCCCCATAACAAAAAAGACAAAAAAAAAAAGCCCACCGCGAAAATGCAGGGCTTCAACATGGGACGCTACGTCCCGCCCGACTTCGAGGGGGTGACGTCGGGCAACTGGCTGCACAACAAGCGCCACCACGCCCCCGGGGGCGGCTCATCGTCGTCGTCGGCGGCGCCGCAGACGGTGCGGTTCGAGATGCCGTTCCCCGTGTGGTGCGGCACCTGCGCGCGCCCGACCGTCATCGGCCAGGGCGTGCGCTTCAACGCCGCCAAGCGCCGCGTCGGCGCCCACCACTCCACCCCGATCTTCTCCTTCACCTTCCGCCACGCCGACTGCGGCGGCGAGCTCGAGGTCCGCACCGACCCGGCCGCCACCGACTACGTCGTCGAGCGCGGCGGCCGCAGGCGCCTCGTTGCCGGGGAGGGGGAGCAGGGCGGCGACGAGGAGGACCTGGTTTCGCCCGCGGCCCTCAAGCGCGCCAGCCTTGCGAACCTGGCCTCGCGCGGCCTCGGCGGCTCGGCAGCCAGCAGCAGCGGCGATCCCGACGACAGGCAACGAGGAGGGGACCGCGAGGCCGCCTTTGCGCACCTGGAAAAGACCATCGCGGACCGCGCGGCGCTGGCGCGCGCGTCGACGCGCGTCGACGAGCTGGCGGCCGACTCGGACCGGCTCGGCTGGGACCGGCCGTACGAGCGCAACGCGCTGCTGCGCCGCGGCTTCCGCGCCGACCGCAAGGAGCGCGAGAGGGCCGCCGTGGCCGACGCCGACGTCATGGCCCGCCTGGGCCTGGCAAACGACGGCGACGGCGACGGCAACGACAACCCCGACGACAACGGCGACGGGCTCGTGCTGGGCCCGGAGCTCGACGTCGACCGCGCCAGGGCCGCGCTCGTCGACTTTGGTCGCGCTCCGGACGACGACGAGGCCCTGACGAGGCCCCTCTTCGCCCCCGGCCCGGCGAGGGACCGCGACGCCGCCGCAGGGGGGCCCAGGAGGGGTGGCGACGCTGCCGGGACGAGGGGGGACGACGTAGCCGAGCCGCCCAGGGCGCCGAGGTCGAGTCCCGCCCTGGCTGGCTACCGCCACGGGCGGCGCGGCAGGTTAAAATCGGCAGTCAAGAAAGAGATGAGGAGGGAGAGCCTGATAGAGGAGATCGGGAGGAATACTAGAAGGACGATGGACCCGTTTCTGGAAGGCTGGGGTAGGGAGTCGCCTCAGCGCTCGGTTGTGCTTCCGGGCCTCAAGCGAAAGCGCAATAGAGAAGGAGAGGCAACAGGCGAGACGCCAAACCCGTCGCCCGCTCTAGCGGATCCGCCGGATCCGGAACTGCCTGAAGTTGAAGCTCCCAGGACTGGTTTGGTTAGCTACGACTCGGACTAGGATTTCTCAACCTTTTACTACACTTTCATGATACCCCTTGGAGAAATACAGACATCACTTCACGTCAACAGCAGGGACAATACATGTATTGACCACAGAAGAGAATATCTCTGATTTTCTGCACAATAAAAGTGGCTAATGTAAAAGGGCCAACTGCAATCAAAACAGGAACAACCGTGTCCAAGGCACGTTGCCCTTCTCTTCCCTCAACCAGCCATGGCTTCAGTAACCACCAACTGGCCCGTATTAGAGTCTAGGCCAGTTGGGCACCAACCCCCCCAGATCCTGTGACCAACAAGTAGTTTCGACACACCAAGCCTTAATGACTTCCCAAAGAGCGACATATGCCAGGTAAATCTACTCCGTAAGTGCTATCCCATGACCGGAGACGCGAGGAGCTGCAAAGAAGCAATCAGGCGGCCGTTTACTCCTCGGCCTCAAGAGGAGCCTCGTCCTCCTCGTACTCCTCCTCCTCGTCGACGCCAGCATCCTGGTACTGCTGGTACTCCGAGACCAGATCGTTCATGTTGGACTCGGCCTCAGTGAACTCCATCTCGTCCATACCCTCGCCAGTGTACCAATGAAGGAAAGCCTTGCGCCTGAACATGGCAGTGAACTGCTCACCAACACGCTTGAAGAGCTCTTGTATGGCAGTCGAGTTTCCGATGAAGGTCGACGACATCTTCAGGCCCCGGGGAGGGATTGAGCAGAGGGCGGTCTGGATGTTGTTGGGAATCCACTCGACGAAGTACGACGAGTTCTTGTTCTGGATGTTGCGCATCTGGTCCTCGACCTCCTTCATGGAGACCTTACCACGGCTATCGCACACAAAGATGGTTAGTTAGTGCCTTCTAGGTTGGGCATATTAAATAGGCCAGATAAATAGGCCCAATGCCTAGATGCAAGACTCACAAAATAGCAGAGCAGGTCAGGTAGCGACCGTTGCGGAAGTCCGAGGCAGCCATCATGTTCTTGGGGTCGAACATCTGCTGGGTCAACTCGGGCACCGTGACGGCGCGGAATGAGTGGGCGCCGCGGCTAGTCAGGGGAGCGAAGCCGACCATGAAGAAGTGCAGACGGGGGAAGGGAACCATGTTGACGGCAAGCTTACGCAGGTCAGAGTTCAGCTGACCGGGGAAACGCAGGCAGGTGGTGACGCCCGACATGACGGCCGAGACGAGGTAGTTCAGGTCGCCGTACGAGGGGTTCGACAGCTTCAGGGTGCGCATGCAGATGTCGTACAGAGCCTCGTTGTCGATGCAGAAGGTCTCGTCCGAGTTCTCGACCAGCTGGTGGACCGAGAGGGTGGCATTGTAGGGCTCGACGACAGTGTCCGAGACCTTGGGCGAGGGCACGACCGAGAAGGTGGCCATCATGCGGTCGGGGAACTCCTCGCGGATCTTGGAAATCAGGAGGGTACCCATACCGGCACCGGTACCACCACCTAGAGAGTGGGTGATCTGGAAACCCTGCAGGCAGTCGCAGCCCTCAGCCTCGCGGCGGACGACATCAAGAACCTGGTCGACCAGCTCAGCACCCTCGGTGTAGTGACCCTTGGCCCAGTTGTTGCCAGCACCAGACTGGCCGAAAACGAAGTTGTCGGGGCGGAACAGCTGGCCGAAGGGACCGGCGCGTACGGCGTCCATGGTGCCGGGCTCGAGATCGACGAGGACGGCACGGGGGACATGCTTGTTGCCGGAGGCCTGGAGCGGAAAGGTTATGGGTCAGAATACAGGACACGAAGGTGGGAAATACCGGCGGCTAGTGCCGGACAGAAGCTTCAACTCAGGGTCTGTCTGCATACCTCGTTGAAGTAGACACTCATGCGCTCGAGCTGGAGCTCCGAGGTGCCGTTGTACCTGTATCAATATGTCAGAGCGGTGAACAGACGGCGGGCCGAGCCACAAGCAGAACGAAATACGTACACGCCATTGCTGTCGAGACCGTGCTCGCTAGAAATGGTCTGCCTGTCAAAGAAGTCAGTACGGGCCACGGGCAGCGGCAGTCGTGGTCGGCGGCGGATCGTCGCGCGGCGTCGTTTCATACCAGAAGGCAGCACCGATTTGGTTACCCTGTGAGCAAACTCGTTAGCATATTCACCGTTGCCACTGGTTGAAGGGTCGATGGATTGTCACTTACGCACTGGCCGGTCTGGAGGTGGACCTGTAGTTGAGAACAAAAGATGGCTGTCAGCTTCTAGTGCTATCCTGATGGCGAGACGTGCCGGGCCGAGACAGAGGCCACATGCTTCGGAGACGCGGCCGACGATGCTGGATGGTGGGGTTCACTATCCAGGCACCGAACAAAACACGATCCGTGATGTTTGGCATCGAAAGGGCATCAAGACTTACAATCTCGCGCATTTTGGCTACTGTCTGGGTGTGAGCTGGTGGGTGTTTGTGATTGCAATGATGGAGCGAGGCGGAAAAGGACGTTGGATGGGAGAGCGAGCAGAGATGTGGTTGTGGTTGTGGTTGTGGTTGTGGTTGTTTGCGGTTGCTGTCGAGCTCTTGGGTCGGGTGGTGGTGGAGTTTTGTGTGGGGGCGGACGAAAGGGCGATTTGTTGATTTTTGCTGTGGGAAATTTGCTCCTCACCGCCGCCTGCCCAGGTCCTCATGCCGGGCCCCTTCCAGAGTGGAAGCGGCCTGTGGCGCTAGGCTGCCCGGTTGGTCCTAGGTAGGTATCCTGCCCCCTTGTTTACATGGGCCCCATGTTGCGCGATGGCCCGTGCTGCGCGTTGGGGTGGTCGCAGCTGTTATGTCCTGGCCAATCCGCTTGCCGCCTCTGCGCCAGGAGACAAGGCCAGCGGCGGGGCAGGTCCAGTTCCGGCTCGTGCGTCCTGTCGTCGTCCAATTGCGATGGGCATCAACAAATAAATACCTGTTAGGTAAGCCGACCTAGACGTCTGCCAGCATGGCGTCCACTCGGAACCCACAGCCGAAAGGGCTGCTGCTAGCAGGAACCACAGGCGGGACGGGGACGACACCGCATCTCTGGCTCAACCCCCGGAACGAGGAGGCTAGTGTTGGGATGCATGGGACAAAAGACGGCGTCTGACGGGTCGGCACAAAAGGGGAGGCTGGGTTGACATGCAGCTGACCATGCACCTCGACGTTGCACAATGCAAAATCTGGTGCGGTCTTGAAGGGTATTTAGGCTCGTGGATATCCTCTGTACCAAGTCTGGCGTCTGTGTCAGATACCATTCAGTGTACCAATGTTGAGCATGTCGGGAATGCTTACATCCGAATCCATCCATCCGCAGGCTCCATTCTCTTATGCTGCACAACTCATGATATTTATGTGCACCTCCATCTATGCTTCGAGTTGGCCCGCTGGTACCTTCTACCTTTTAAACTTTCAATGGGCCGGCTTCACACGTCACAACCTCGGCCACCCCATCAGTCGGGCTGCGCTTAAATGGACCACATTCTAGTAAGCCCCCTCACCGACCCCTCCGACTTCTTCTCGACCGCCTGTTGCAGTTTTACCAAGTCCCATCTCATCTGGGCGCAAGCATGGCCACCGGTACATACTTGCGGTCTGGATGACATGCAGCGCAAGCAGAGCACAAGAGGATGCACATCTCACAGACAAACACGATGAGCTTTCTGGTAAGTTCCTGCAAGTAACAATATCTCTGGATTGCTGATTTTGTCGTCATCAACTCTATACAATGCATACTCATGACATGACGCAGCATGCAGGAGAGAGCTCCCAAGCCTGCCTCCATGCTTATACATGACCATAATCGTCTTGCCGAGGCGCCGGTGACCATTAGTCCCGTATCGTTGGGACGCACCGTCGCCGTTCAGGCCCGCACCCGATCTCGGGAGGGTCGGCATCACCCGTGCCGCCTCGATGCCGCCCCGGTCGAGTGCCGGTGACGCCGCGGCGCCGCTCGTCCGATCGGCCTCAGCCGTCCTGACATGCTCTAATCTTTCCATGTCTTTCGGCTCTGCGACCTTCTTTCTCGCCCATCGGCTTGCCCCGCGGTCAGGCCCCGACATATTTATCATTCTTTCAGCCATTCCCTTCGTTGTCGTACCATTCCCCTCCTTTTGTGTATAACCATTGACGCGACAAGAGGACGAAAAAGGAAAACATGAACGAAAAATTACGAGAAAAAAAAAACGGGCTTGAGAAGATCCCATGTTTTGAAAGTCCAAGAACCTGGATCGCCCAGTCGAGAGAAGGATGCCATGCAAAACAAGAAGACGCCAAGTGGAAAAAAAAACAAGACAGAAACGATGCCGCCAAGTGGCCATCTCAAAACCGTACCGCCAGGGCTGGAAGGAAAACAGGTATTACGGGAGATATTCGCGATGGCATGAGAGGAATAATGGCTGTTGAAAGATGACCACTCCCTTTATGCAACCGGCCGAGAGAGAACCCCCCAAGAAAGCAGACGGACGCCGAAGAGGGAAAAGAAACCCGAGGAAACAGAACAACGAATACCCCGAATGATTTTTTTACTTGTTAAATATTGTACCTGGGAGGATATTGGTACATATGCAGACAGGCCGGCAGTAAGGCAAGACGAGCCGCCACATTAGCTCGTCGCCCAAAGTTGGGTGCCATCTGCCAGGCCGTGTCCGTCCACCTTTTGGTATCCCTTAGCGAGCGCAAGGGTGATCGGCGACCCTTGGCAATGCTCGAGCTCGACCATTGTGTTGGCCGTGGGTACTTCTGTGGCCAGAGGCCAATGAAGCTGCTGCTGTCGGCGTGAGTCGCTCTCTACTCTCGCCTCGAGACAATACAGCACGCTCCATTGTCCTGTCAGCTAACCGTCATCATGTGCAACCTCGGGCCAAGGCCGCTCGTGGAGGTGCGGGATTCGGCCGAGGGCCGCCCGCTGATGACGGAGCTGTTGCTATGGCTACTTTTGAGTAGCCTTTTTGGGGGACTCGGCGGCGCCGTAGTCGGGTCTGTGAAGACGCGTGTGAAGGCCGGGCTACCATCACGCCTCAGATGACGCTCCCGCTTAGGGGTGATCGCTGGGCTTTGTGTTATAAACTCGGCTTTTCGCACAATGTCGGACAGGACGTGGAATAGCACATTGGCCTGCTTGACCAGTTCTTGGAGGCTGTTCGTGTCGAAGAAGAGCTTCGAGTCCGAGTGAGTCTTGGGTGGGAATCCCTTGACTGGAGCGGAGGAGGAGCGGCGCTGCTGCTGCTGGTGTTGCTGTTGCATGGCCTCAATAACGGAGGCGATGACAGCGCTGTCGGGCGTGTCGGTCTGGCGGGTTCGGTTCGGAGTCTGTGGAGTGGCAGGATTGGGGTGATCCTCAGGAGATGGCCAGCTGCCAAAGATGTCGTCCTCGGGTGGGAATACAGAGCGTCGCCGGGCAACCTGACGCTCTCGAACCACGGCCATCCTGGACATACCAGGCTCGGGAACATCGAATGACTCTTCCGAGTAGTTCAGCGAGGCCGCGTCAAAGCCTTCGTCCGTATATCGCTCGTTGACGACAGGCAGGTCAAAATCGACCGACTCCGAATCACCCCTGCCAGTACCCTCGTCTTCGTCCGGGGACGCCAATCTTATGATGTCCTCGGCCTCCTGCCACAGCTCTGCTGACTCGTTCAAAAGATTCAGGTCCCGACCGTGGCGGCAGAGTCGCTTGAGGCCATTGACGAGCAGCGACAATTCGCGGATTTGGCCAGAGTGGGCCTTGACGGTCGGCTGGGTTGCCTGGATGGAGGCGGGGACAATCATGGAAAACCGGCTCCCGACAGCGTTTCCCTCCACCAGAGCTACAGGCTCTTCGTCAAACTCGAAATCCTCCTCCCAGTCCTCACTCACGTTCTTGGGCCCCGAGGCCCAGGTGCGGAACTTGGCGGGATTCGACTTGACCACCGTCTCGGGCGGATCAGGGACGGTAGGAACACTCTGGCTGCGGACGTGTGTGGCGGTCGGCCCCTTGCGGTTGGCCACACGACCATTCCTGCCCTCTGCCTCTGGCTTGCCATTGACGGTTTTAGGCCTTGGCGAAGGCCCATCGACGTCGACTCTTTCCTGGCAGATGGGCTCCGTCCAGTCGAAAACGGTACTGCGAGGGCGCTCGCTGGTTGAGTCATTGGTGGCCGAACGGGGACTGCCGTTGCCGCTGATGCTCGCCAGGGCAAGGCGCAGGCTGGGGCTGGCTCCCCCAGAGTTGATGGAGCTAGACGGTGGCGAGAGGTGGTTGGAGAGGGCATTCTCATCATCTCGAGCCCAGTCAAAGTCATCGTCTTCATCCAGAGACAGACGGCCGAAGTCGCGAGTGGCCAGGGATAGCGGAGGTGCCGAGTTCTCATATTCATATTCCCGCCTGCCCGAGACGTCCACTATGGTGGGATGGAAGTCGACGGGTGCTCGTTGGGAAACGCCTGGGTGGCGGACGGGTGTGGCCGCGTTCTCGTCCTCCTCCATGATTTTGGAGTCTGGATCCCAGGTGCGGCCCAGCATCTCCTGGATCGAGAGGCGCTTGGCCTTGGTGTTGCCGGCGGTGCTGGGTGGGGACTCGTCGAACATTGACTCGAGCGGCGTGTCGACGTTGCGCACGCGGACGGAGCCGCCGGTGCGGATGGATTCGTACATGGTGTCGCTCTCGAAGTCGGTATCATCGTCGTCTCCCGACACGAAGGACCTCATGTCTAGATCGGAACCTGCTAGCGTGGGGGCGCGCTCGTTGGACACATCACGGCTGTGGCAGGGAATGGGGCCGCCGGGGGTCGAGGCCGGAAAGGGGCTGGCCTGTAGCTGGTAGTCGTGCCTCCGGGGCACAGCGGCGGACGAGGCAGAGGAACCGGCGCGGTAGAGGTCGACGTGGAAGCTAGAAAGGCGGGAGAGCGGCGGGAGGGGGGAGGACGAGTTGCGCTGGCGCGTGGCCGTGGTATTGACCGAGGTGTTGATGGTGCGGCAGGCGGCCGGGGGGTGTGCGGGCGAGACGTCCATGGTCGAGGAGGCCTGTCGCTTATCAAGTGTGGGCGGAGCAAACAGGTGTTGCAAATCCTGCTTGACCCCAGCCTGTGCCTCAATTGGCAAAGCGGCGCCAACAGCAGGCGCTGACACGTTCCGAAGGCCTCCACTTTTGCCGTCGGCGCCCCTCTTCTGGCGTCGTATGCTGCCGTTCCTGGAGATCCAAGCGGTCGGGGAACTGAAATGCATCGAAATCGATCGGCGCGCCCGTTTCGAAGCCGCGTCCTGCTCTGCCTTGTCGGGTTCCGCAGTTGGGCAATCGCCCAGCGTCGTCTCCGCATCTTGATGCTGCCTCTGCTCCAGGCCGCCTGCAGCTGCTGCAGTAGCGGGTGGAGCTGCGGGTGGAGCCACCCATGGCGAGCGAGTGCTCGCAGCACCGCCAGGGCAGCCGGCATCAGAATCAATGCCCGACATCACCGACGCATTGACCAGGTAAGCGCGAGGCATTCCCGCACTCCCCTTGCGTGCATCAAGCGTCCTGGTGGGTAATTGGCCGGGCCCTGGGCTGCCAGGAAAACTGCCCTCGCTGCCCTCGCCGCCACGCCCAGAGCTGCTCCTCGAGCTGGACCGGACCACCCGCAGGTGGAAAAACGAGCTCCAACTCCTCCTCTTCTCGAGTCCCTCCTCGGGTATGTCTAATTGCGGCCGAGCCCGCTGCGTCGTCGTCGGTCGTGACTGCTGGTCGAGCGAGTATTTCGGCTGCGCGGGCGAAAGGGCGATCTGGGGGCTGCCCTGGTACTGCACCTGCTGCAGCGTGGCAGACCTCTGGTGGCTGGTCGCGGGTCGGCGCAGGGATGGGATCTGGGAGCGGGATCCTCGCCTTGAGAGCTTGCCAGACGGGGTGGGCTGGCCGGCCGGCGTGGACCGCTTGACCAGCTTGTTTGGAGGGAGCTGGCGTGGTGGGGTGGAAGGGATGGGCGGGAGGACCGAGAGGCTCGAGGCGTGGGAGTAGTTCACCGACGAAGAGTCCGGGCCAACACTCGATCGTATGCTTCCGTGCTGCGAGAGGGGCCGCATCGACAGGCGACGCATCCACGAGCCATTGGACGACACCGAGTCCCGCACGTCCTCGCTTATTGACGGGGAAAGGCCTTCCCTTTGCCGGGCAAACGAGTGCCGCCTGCTCGTCACCTTGGGCGGCGTCAGTTGTGTCGAGTGTGTCGAGGGCGGTTTGCTACGCGAGGGGCGAGTCGCGTTGCCTGAGGTAGGTGAGAGAGCAAGTCTCGAGGGTTCGGAATGTGTGTGGGTGGCCGGGGTCGCGCTTCCGGCTATGCTGGTGGCCGGCCGGGAGAGTGTCACGGGGAGGTCCCTGAAGCTATCGAGGTCGGAGCCCAGCTTCCTTCTAGGCGATGATGAGCGTGACTGCGTCGTCTGGGAGGGCTGGGCAAAAACCAGGCCCACGGCCGCCGCGGCCACGACACTGCTGGTGCCGACAATCTGCAGACAAAAATGTTAAGACACGAACGGCCAATCTCAAACAGTGGGTGCACAGAATATTTCAAAGGAATTTCTGGGCAGTTTTCTGTGCAAGTGATCCGTCGAGTGCTCCGAGCCGGGAAGGAAAAAAAATGCAGGTTTCGAAATGTTGTGGATTTTTGGCCGAGGTTTGCGTGCAGAATATTTGGTGCCGTAGGGAGGGCGAGGGTGCGTCGAGGCATGCGCGGTGCACGTCTTCTGTCGTCCCGTCTGCTCGTTGCTGGCTGTCGGTTTGGCAGACGCATCTGATGCCCTCCCTCGCATGTCCCTCCCATGCACGGCGTTTGGTCGTCGTTCGATCTGCTCGAGGGATGATGGCTGGGACGAGGCGAATAATCCAGGATAGAGTTCGGCGAGGGGGCGGGCAACAGAGAGCAAAAAGGGGCCTGGATCTGGACTTCACGTGGAACTGGGCGGATTTGTCTTTGTGGTGACGCCGTCTCGACGAGACAGCAGCCACAGCGGGCAAGTCGACTTACACTGGGAACGGCCTGCATCTTGAGATCAGGACCGGCAGCAGCCGTTGGCGGGCGAGCAGGACGGGACGAAGCTGGCGCAGCTCGGAATCACGAATGGCATCGTCGTCTCGTCAAGAGCATCGGCGCGGCGGTCGGGTCGGGTTGCTCCTCGCCTTGCCCTTCCTTTCTGTGGTTGGGACTGGTGTTTTGGGGGAGAGGAGCTGAAGGGGTTCCCAGGAATGCAGCGAATTATTCCAGTGCGGTTGCTGCTGCTGCTAGTCAGTGTCAGTCGGCGCCCCGGGCTCAATGGCTCGCTGGGGGGTACGAGCTACAGTTGACTGCGCTGGGGGTCATGGCTGGTTTCGGCAACAACAAAACAAGCATCCACCTCCTGGTTGGGTGCAACTGGCCCTGCAGTGGGGTCCCACAGCACGATCCCTCCGAGGGACAGTGTCTGGCGAGGGTGCAGCAGCTTGCTCCCTCCATTTCGGACACATGCCGGGCCACCCCCCAGCAGGGGTCGGTCCCAGCCAGCATAACGACCTCAAGTTAGCACCCCACGTGCAGGTCCATCTCGAAATTTGGCGGCAGCCATGTTCTGGTGCGTTGCCCGTGCTGCGCTGTGCCCTCGTGCGGTCACGCAGGAGACAAGACATTCTGGGGAATGCCAACAGGTCTATGATCGGGGTGCTTGCCAGACATCCATCAATCAGGTCTGTCCATGCTTGATCTTGGATGACACCTCCAGAGTCTGTTGATCAACCCAACTATCTGACCCCGAATCAGGCGGGCAGACTCCTTCCCGGCCGTGCAGCTCCAGCGGCTCTCAGTACCGTCGCTGGACTGCAAGGTGGTACCTAGGAGACAGGCCCAAAAGTACGGCTAGGTCCAGGCACAGGAGCACAGCACGGCCGTGTTCGTGTGCTCAAAGAGGGGAGCTAGACATGGACATGTTTCGAGATAAACAACTGGTCGGCGAGCAGTGTGGCCTCGGCCTTGGGCAGGTACCGACCCAAGTCCCAAACAAGCCACGCACGGCAGGCTTGAGCCGGACGCTATTTTCTTTGGTTTGGGGCGTTCGACGAATTTCACCTGCATTCGCATCCACGGCCAACACCCCGACCCGAGATCACTCCTCCGCCACTGTGCATGCTGCCGAGAGGCTAGTGTTGCTGCAATGGATATCAGCACCCGCGGATGGGACAATGGCAGCTCTTCTTTCGCGGCCTCTTTTTTTCTTCCTCTTGCTCTTCGTCTTCATTCTTGTTCTCTCTTGTTGGCGAGGCTCAAGGTTAGCCGACGTTTTCAAAGCCACTCGGCACTAGGTAGACCAAACTTGCCGAAGCTCGCTGGACGTTGCCCCAGCATCCTCCCAAGCTGGCTTGGTTTCTGGCCCCAGCCAGTGAAGCTCGCTCCCGTCGGGCTTGCCGTCGTGCTATTCCGCAAACAGCCCAAGTAGGGCATTGATCGACGCAGCACGTCAAAAAAAACGGGCTTGAGGCGAGCTGGAAACTGCGGCGCCTGCCCCAAGGGTGGCTCAATGACGGTGGATTCCTGCTGCAGGGCCTGCATTTATTCCTTCCGCCGGATATTGCATCATTTTGCACTTCCCTACCCATATGCAGACCCGGTCGGTACCACGACATCCCATTCGGTAGGCACGGCTGACACATGGGATATCTTGTCGTTATCCTTCGATGCTCCTTCTCGCGTGAGCCCGTCGCAGCCGGCCACGTTTCTTTGCGTTGCTTTCCTATTCTCTTTCTTTTCGTTTTTTTATTTATTTACTTGGCTTTTGTTTGTCTTCACTTTCCCGTTGCGGCGATCGATCACAGCCTAGCTTGAATCTGACTGAGACCTTGCTGTGTCCATAGACTCGACCCGTAATTACCAAGGGCCCTGGTTCTCCTGGCTGAACATTGGACGAATCCAGAAGCTGCCATGGGGCCCCTGTTACAAGGCTGGGGTTTCGGGCACCCGGTAATGATGCCGTCGTAATGTCCAGGGCTCCAGTCGTGGGGAGCACAATTTGGCCCGCATGCAAGACAAGACAGGGGGCCCGTCGGTTTGTTAGACGAGCCCTCCCCCTTTTGGTACCTTTTTTTTTTTTTTTT